ACCAGTATCCTAGATTTCTGCTGAGGGTCCACTAGAGCAAGGGCAATAAAGGCTCTACTTGTCTTTTCTTTCTTCAGTTTAAACCTCAGGTTCCCAACCACTGGCTCTCCAACAATTGTCTCGCTCTCTCCCTCTCTCTCTCTCTCTGGGAAAACATATAAAGCTAACTTTAGTTTTTTCAACAGTAGTAAATAAAGAAAAAATATTAAGCATGTACCTTGTTTGTCCTACACTAACTGTACCTGGCTAACCAAAGAGAAGAGAAAACAAACTCTCTCTTTATAGAAAAATTCTAGCAAATACCACAATGATGCCGCAACCCCTAGTGAATCATGGATCTAGTCATTTTCCATCAACTGCTGCAATAATTTCAAAAACAGAATTATGTCTCTCTTGATGAAGACTACGCCCTTACCTAGGCTACAATCTTGTCAAAAAAGATGTTGGAGGAGGTTCCTGAAATGGATTAAGTCTCTGGATCCAATTCCCAGTTTACAGGAAATAGGGATTATGGAAGAACACATTAAACTATATTTCATGAAAGTAATCAACAAAATCCAGATTGTAGGAAAACTACAAAATGAATGGTCTGGGCAGCGCAGGGTGGCTCGCGCCTGTAATCCCAGCACTTTGAGAGGCCGAGGCAGGCGGATCACCTGAGGTCAGGAGTTCAAGACCAGCCTGACCAACATGGAGAAACCCCGTCTCTACTAAAAATACAAAATTAGCCAGGCGTGGTGGTGCATGCCTGTAATCACATCTACTTGGGAAGCTGAGGCAGGAGAATAACTTGAACCCTGTAGGCGGAGGCTGCAGTGGGCCGAGATGGCACCATTGCACTCCAGCCTGGGCAACAAGAGTAAACTCCTTCTCAAACAAACAAACAACAACAACAACAACAACAAAAACGAGGGAACAACAACAACAACAACAACAAAAACAAGGGAAGTAGTGGTGGGGAAAATAGCGGACAAGAAGGAGGGAAAGGAGAGGACTGAAAAGTCACAGCGAGCTGGAGCCGCTGGAGGACCTGAAGAAGAAGCAGAAAAACCTGTGAATACTAAGACTGTTTCTTCCAGTAATGAAAGGGAAAGTTCCAGTCATAGCACTGAGACACAGTCAGCTGAAGAAACTGCAGACTTCCCAACAAAGCCTACAAAGATCTCCAAGTGTGGATTTCCCATAGGTAGTCAGACAACAAAGAAAGCATCAGACATATTCAACAAACTTGGATCAAGTAAGCCTTAAACTGTTCCAACTCTTGCTCCAAAAACTTTCAGTGGCAGCAGCTTTTAATGAAGATGAAGACAGTGAACCAGAGGAAATGCCTCCAGAAGCAAAGATGAAGATGAAGAATACAGGAAGGGATACACCAACATCAGCTGGACCAAACTCCTTCAATAAAGGAAAGCATGGGTTTTCTGATAACCAGCAGCTATGGAAGCAAAATATAAAATCTCATCTTGGAAATGTCCATGACCCAGACAATTAAATGATGTTTTGAAACTGGGGTGTGGGGTGGTGTAAAGTTAAAAGGAACAGTTTCCTTTTTTAAAGAACGGTATAAGACTATCTTTGGAGCTGCTTTTTTTTTTCTTTTTCATTTTTTTTTTTAAAGATTGAGTGGTACACTAATAAATGAGAGTTTCAAATTAGAGGTAATTTATGTTTTATATCCAGATTTTAAGACATTTGCTAATTTTGTTGTTTCATGTGATTAGTTTCCAAAGGTTACAGATAATAAAGAAATCAGAAATGGTACCATTATGAGAATTGAATGTTTTTTTAAACACAACCATTAGCACATTAAGAGAGAAGCAGAAGGTATTGCCAGGCTGGGTGCAGTGGCTCGCTCCTGTAATCCCGGAAGCAAAGATAAAGATGAAGAATATTGGAAGGGATAAACCAACATCAGCTCCCACTTTGGGAGGATGAGGCAGGCAAAGTGAAACCCCGTCTCTACTAAAAATACAAAAAAATTAGCTGGGTGTGGTGGTGCGTGCCTGTAGTCCCAGCTACTTGGGGGGCGGAGGCAGGAGAATTACTTGAACTTGGGAGGCATAGGTTGCAGTGAGCCGAGATTGCGCCACTGCACTCCAGCCTGGCGACAGAGCAAGACTCTATCTCAAACAAACAAACAAACAGCAAAAAAAGTTATTATCAATTTAAAACTGCAAGCAGTTACTCTCTTAACTCCCTTATTACCTAAACTTGTCTAGCTCCTAGGAACAGTCTTACAGAGAGATGGAGTATTGTATTGGGAGGAAGATGCTACTGAACTGTTGACTGAAAGTAAATTTAGATAAAATTAAAATTCCTTATGGGCATTTGTTTTGTTTCAAGTCATCATAAACTAGGTATTGCATTGCTCTCAGCGGATACATATGTTTAGCTCTTAAAAGGATTTTTTTTTATGTAGACTGTTGAATATTTGAAATAGCCCACTTCACCTTAATGGGTCTTGTCTATCTTCATTACTCTTCAAAGAAAAACCATTTGCTACCAAAGTAAATCAGTATTTTGAATGTGCTTCTCTTGTTTTTTATTAGCTAGTTCCTGTAAGAATTTCCACCAGAACTTGAGGCAAATCATAAGGAAGCTGTTTCTTTTAAAATACAAACCATCACCAAAAATTTAAATGTATATATTGTTTATATATTTGGCTGTTTTTATTTTTTAAAAGGTATGAACACACAAAAAATTTTTAATTTTGTATGAAGGTGAAAAACAAGAAGATGCACTTTCTGTAACTTTGTCTAAGGATGTAAATTACTAACTTGTGAAACATAATTTGAATTGAACTTAGCTATCAGCTTTCTTACCAGAAAAATTATATGGTTTATTTTAAATGTATACATATTGACCAATGGCCTCTCAAAAATCACATTTTAGATACTAAAATAGAAGGAAAGAAAATGCATCTGTAAACATATTTTGGAATCTCACCACATATACTTTGTTAGATTCGTGTATTGTAGGGTGTTTGTTTTTGTATTTTTGTATTATATATGAACTTTTTTTTTAATGTGACAGTTAAACACACCTTTAAAAGCACAGTCACAGACAAAAGAAACATACAGTATAAAAATCTCCTTGAAAACTCCTACAGTATTATATTTGGAGGCAGCTTCACACTGTTTTATTGGTGGTAACTGCCCGCTGAGCTCTTTTAGACAGTAATAACTCCAGAGACGGAGCCTGTGTAAATTCCTAACACTTTGTTCATTAGCATTTAAGTTTAGAATAAGTCCCATGTAAAACAATAGAAATTTATGTAGAACTCTTAGTTCTTACATGATTTAATTATATCAGGATACATGAATTTTGCCTTACTTTAATGTAGGCAAACTATCCATTTTTATCCATTTTCTTGTTTGTTAAAATAACATACCTCTACTACATATTCTTTTCTTGACCCAAATGAAATATTAACCTAAGGTCAAGCTGGGAGAGAGAAATGACTGAGATGAATGTCTTTACTAGAATACCAATAAAGTTGTCAAACTAAAAAAAAAAATGATACTTTCTATTCTTCCTTTCTCTCTTTACTAAAATATCACTAATTTGTCAAACTCAAAAATAAGATTCATTCCTTCCTTTCCCTCCCTCCCTCTCTTCCTTCCTTCCTTCTTTTCTTTGTTCTCCTTTCTCTTTCTTTCTCTTTCCCTTTTTTGAGAGGGGGTTTCTTTCCTCAGCCTCCCAAGTAGCTGGAATTCCAGGTGCCCACCACCATGCCCGGATAATTTTTTTGTATTTTTAGTAGAGACGGGCTTTCACCATGTTGGCAGCCTGGTCTCGAGTTCCTGACCGCAGGTGACCTACCTGCCTCGACCTCCGAAAGTGCTGAGATCACGGGCATGAGCCACCACCGTACCTGGTCTGGTTTTTTCAATAGATAAATTTTAAAAGGGAGAGAGATGTCTTCGTATTGAATGTCAGGTGCTATGTTTGGGGCACCTGAAAATCATAAGATGCTTAAAAGAAAACAAACCATTAAAAGAAAAGCAAAACTGAACTGTAATATTTAGGGACACATACCTGAGTGATAAAACAATATAAAAAAGCAAGAAAGTGACTGCGTAAAAATCAGAATAGTGATAATTAATCTTAAGAGCAAGAGAAGGAGCTGTGTTTGGAAAATGGCAGTGCATCACACAATTTTCTTAAGCTCTTCTCATTCTCGATAATGGTATAGTATGATTAAATGTAGAATGTAGAGTCAAAATGTAGAAAGAAAAATAACATAACTCAAAATGGCGAGGTGCAGTGGTTCATGCCTATAATCCTAGCAATTTGGGAGGTTGAGGTAGGTGAGATTGCTTGAGCACAGGAGTTCGAAATCAGCCTGAGCAACATGGTGAGAACTCATCTCTATAAAACAAATGAAAAAATTATCTGGGCTTGGTAGTGCATGCCTGTGGTTCCAGCTAGTTGTAAGCAGAGATGGGAGGATCTCTTGAGCCCAAGAGTTGCGGCTGCAGTGTGTTAAGGTGACCCCACTGCACTCCAGGCTGGGTGATGAAGCAGGACCCTGTCTCAAAAAAAAAAAAAAATCTATTACTTTTAATTACATAAGAAACTTGATGAAATGCTTCCTTAAGCAAGGACCAGGTACAAGGTTTACAGATAGTGAAGTACAGCTCAAGCAAAGTGCTTTGTGAGCACATGCTCGAAATAACTGCTTGTGTAATTGCAAAATTGCTGAATTGAATTTTATGCTCAAAAGGAAAAATAACATTTGATGTCTCTAGAATATCATATATTGCCAGAGACTACCTATTCCTTGCAATTTCCTTTACTGTGCTCTATTTCACTATCCTAGTATATTTTAAACATTTTGCAAGCCACAACAAATTATTCCAATTACCTTTTAAATGTTGGTGCCCATCAGGATTTTGCTCTCTGATCTCTTTACTACTCAATTTGGCACTCCTTTGGTGGATTCAACTATTAATTCTAATGCTCTTTACTTGCAAAATCAGAACCTCCACTGAAGTCTTTTTTTAGTTTACAGCTCCAGGTGTCTATGGAGCATCTAAATCTGGATATCCCATGGGAACTTCAGACTCAAAATATCCAAGAGAGATCCATTAGTATTCCCATATCACTGAATCACATGCTGTAGTATTCACTTGATTCTATCACTAAAATGTCCATCAAATATGCCCAGTTTTATCCAGCCCTCCTATTACTGGCCTTCATTATCCTTCACCAAGACCAGGCAAATTACCTAATTTCTCTTGGCCAGCTTCTCTTGCCCTAACCAAAGTTGTCCTTCTAAAAGCAAAGCTCAAATTGTTTAACTGTCTTGATTCTATGCCTTGCATTAGTAAATCAAAGTATCTTTGTATGGGACATCAGTTTCCTTCTTTGTAAGGTGGGACAATATGTATTTCATGAGATTGTAGAAAGTTCTGTCATAAGAAAAGCAATAGTAGTATAATATAGCAATTAATAAATGCCCACTTCTTCTCACCATTATCTCACTGGGGAATAGTATAAAAACAACCATATATGATGCTAAAGGTTATATGTTGATTAAATCATTTAATTTTCATAATAGCTTCATGAGGTAAGTATCATTGTTATAATTCTGACTTTAGAGATGAAGCAAAGAGAAGCTGACTATCTTGTCTAAGATCACACATCAAGACAAAGGCAACACTGAATCTCAGATTTAGGTATGCCTGAATCCAGATTGTGATAACCAACAGAATATGCCAACACTAAAATACATTACATTCTCATGACAATGGAATTAACTTAATCACCTTTAAACTGTTGAATCAAGATTTTAAATAAAAGAAAATCTTCTATTTCATTGGTATATAGTGTACCTATAATACCAATGTGAATGTGATGATAAATGAAAAGTGCAATCAAAATATTTTAAAAATGCATATTTCCAATTAAACACAGTTTGACATAACTAAGGTGAGCTCAGCCAGCAATGTTTGTTTCCTCAACACTGCACAACTTAATACTGCGATGCATTTTTGCCACCTTGGAGTGCTGCAAAAACATCTGTGACATCTACATTTCTAAAACGATAAAAATTGGTTGTTTCTGAAACATATTTTTTAAGACTGTTCTTAAAACCATATAGTAATTTATACCTAAATATTTTCGTATTTTCATAGATAACATTTTTAAAGTATATGGGCTTTCAGCAATTTGCACTCTTCAGAGAAATGACATTTACATCTTCTTGGGTCTATTCAGGGACCAATCTTTTAAACCATTATCACTAGAAATAAAAGTCTGCTTTGTTCTTTATTAAAAAAAGAAAATATGGAGGAAGCCGATTAAAATTTATTACATAGGACAGTGTTTCCAAACATGCTTTAAAAACAAAAAACTCTTACTAAAAACAGTTAAGTGAACAGTGACATATACAACTGATAGAAGCCAAGATGGAAAATATGGAGCCCCATCAGCCTGATTTTTCATTATTCATGATGAGATAGGAGGTGGCCTGGACCAGACTGAAGACTGACAGAAACAAGGAAGAGGTGACGAAAACTTCTCTCCATAAGACATGCCCACCAGCATCATGACAATTTACCATTGCCATGGCTATACTCAGAAGTTGACATCCCTTTCCATGGCAATGGCTCAGAAGTTACCTCCTGTTTTCTAGAAATTTCTAAATAGTCTGCTCCTTATTTTGCATGTAATTAAAAGTGGTATAATCATGACTGCAGAACTGCTGCTCTTGACTCACTTCCCAGGGTACTCCTGCTCTAAAGGAGAAGTCACAGAGCTGTAATACCCCTGCCTCAGTAAAGCTGCTTTTTTCTACCACCAGCTCACTCTTGAATTCTTTCCTGAGCAAACCTTCTCAGGCTATACCCCAACACTGGGATTCACCTGCCCTGTAACAATTTCACCATAAAAGTCGACAAGGCTTCAGGATACAACCTAAAATGTCAATGAAACATCCAGAATCCTTACAGAAACAGGCCACACTAACATGAGGCCAACATCCCTATATAAAAATGATGCGATGGATCTTGTTTATATCATTAATGCTGCACGTCTTAAACATAGGGAGTTCACTTATAATCCCTCTGAATAAGAATAAAGTTCTCAAATTTTATATCTGAAATTTATAAAACACAATACTATTCCCTGATTCTTGTAATTTCACCTCTTTCCCAAATTGTCTCATATTGAATGAAGAATCATGATCGTTTATTAACTGATCCTATCAACAAGTTATTTACATGCTATCTGATTAGTGCAATACCACTGTGATACAGCCTAAAACACATGTGCTTCCTGAATCCCATAAACTTAAAATGTGAAATCACCAATGTGCACAGAGAAACCTGAAATGATAAAAACCCAACTTAAGTAAAGAATAGTATATATACACTTTGATACACTTTTTTATATGTATATAAAATCTCCAAGTACTTCCTAGAGACTCCCTCAAGACCTATGAAAAATGAGCCAAGCCTATTTTCAAACTTTTAGAATCTTTTTTTTAACACAGGCATCCTCAAAAGAAATATCACAAAATGTGAATGGCTTCTACACAAATGAAGCTAGGTTTTCCAAAATAATTCATCAAAGGTTTAGCAATATTTTGGAAAATGTGTTAAAATTATTTAACAGGAGATGCTGGTTGAATTTTACTAAACAAAGCTTCTGTTAGTCACTGTTTTCCTCCACTTCAGTTAGTACCCGCAATTAAATCATGTAATGGTTATTTTTCTTCTTTCTAAACTGATTTAACATCATTTCAAAGAAAAATGAAAATAATTCTATTTGCATTCCAGAATTGCATGTCTCTTGTTGCAATAATGTAGTATTTAATTTGAGGCAATAATATTGGGTAATAATATAATAATTAAATATATTTTTCTACAACATAGTGAACAACATTGCATCTATTGTTTGCATCCGTTACAGGAAACAAATGGTTACACTGTTTTAGTAACAAAATACATTTGTTGCCTCTGTTTCCAAATAATTAACACAAAGTTAATCCAACACTATAGCAGTGGTCATTGATCCCACTTTTAGACAATCAGAATCTGAACACTCTTCCCATCCGTATACGGTTTGGTGATAGGCAAAGCACTCACTCACTGCAGAAACTTAAGAACAGGTATTTCTTCTCTCTGCCCAGCTGAGCGCTAGAATTTGGCCAATTTAATTATTACCTCCTTGTCAAGGCTTTAAAATTAGAGGCAGGGAGTTAAGGACCTAGGTAGGACTGAAAAATTAATCACAATAGCAATGGCAAGTGTCTAGCAGTGACTGTACCTCATTATTCCTTCACTCACTCATTTAACACTTATTTACTGAACACTTACCACATGTTTTTCATTTATCCATTCAACAATTTTACTAAAAATATGTTATGTGCCTTTATGCCAGGCCCTCACATCAAGAGTCCAGTGCCAACAGATATATCTTAAGCAGACTATTCCAGTAATCCTTGCTATCTGTCACCTGAGGTCCTTGGCATTGCCAGAACTTGATTTCCAATCTTCTC